GTATTGGGGAATTTTAATATTGGATGTATTGAAAGTTGGCATTATTGGACAATGGACAAAAAACCGCATTTCGGAGAGCGATCCACGTGCTGTTCTGCACCTACGGAGTGGCGACAATTTATCAGATGTGATGGTGACTCACTCTCTCTTATTTCACCTCCGTCCTGCTTTCTCTCATATTTTGATTGTTGTGTGAATAATGATTTCTAAGCGTTGCGAAAATTTAATTCTTATACAGAATTTTCCCACGTTATGCATTTTATATGCCTTACTAATTTGCACTATTGTATTGTAAATAATTCCATCAACCTCCTTGATATTCCTTAAGCTTATCATGACGACGCGGTCTTTTGCACGAAGGTTCGTTTTCTTTGGATCATAAGCGCCAGGCATCAACTGCCCTTTCATCACGTTCATGATTTTGCCCAGACTTCAAAAATGTTTATTTTTCAAATTTAGTAAGGTCAATTTGGGCTCCTTCAATGGTAGTTCTTCAGCTATAAAGCCTAACACCATAACTCCTCGTCCTACTCTTTTGGTCATGGCTAATTTGAAAATACTTAAATTGTAACTATGTCCATTTGCCTTGGATCGCCTTGGAAATGACTTTGTGCGTCCTTCATCCATGCAGACGGCCAATTCAGAGCTGAATCTCTCACGTATGGTGGAGATTTTGGGGGAAATTGATGGGGGCGGTGGGACAGGTCAGTGCCTTCCGCCAGTGCTCACAGGCGTACCTTCAGACCTACAGCAGAATGCTCTGGGTGCGCTTCGTCTCCACGGTGCTCTGCGCGTGGCTACACAATTGGTGGGGGCGTTGGAGGCCTCTCTCGCTGACCTTACCATCGGTAGCGGCGCCACTACTGATGGATCGTCATTACCCGATAGTACTGCCTGCACAGCAGCGCAAGACGAGGAACTCCTTAAGGCTATTGCGGAAGACTCCACCACCCTGTGTTTCGTAAATCGTCATCTTTTGCTCTTTGACCAAGGTCTCGTAATAGCAGATGCTGCTGTTGAGGCCATTTCGCGCTCTGATGGTGTAACTCGACAAATGCGTTGCCAGTTCAGACACTTTCTCTCCTTTTCACAAATCGCCCTTTTGGTAAATATTTCCACAATTTTACTGCGTTTCCTAATTTTCACAGTTTCTTTCAATCATCTTGATTTGGTGGGTTGGGATTTGTTTCAAGGTCGATCAACTTTTTGTTAGTTTTGTATGGAGTTGATATCGGCAAGAAAATAGGAAGGATCCTTACAGGAAATCGTTATTTGATATTTGTAACT